TTTTTTCACGAGTGCTAGCATCAGCGTTCTACGATGTGTTTCTCTGATTAACAGCTGCTTTGCAACTATTTCCTTGTGCCACCGATGACCATATTTGTCAAGGAACTCCTGACAGAGTACTGATTTCTTACTAAAATGCAGCATTTCTGTTTGAAGAGGGTGCTCTCGTTCTCAGCACTGCCTAGCTTTTAAAGTCAGTCCTTGTTAAAACTCGAGTTGGCTTTGGTCTAACGCTTGTTAACAGGATTCTGGGTATCTATCTACTTTAGAGCACGAGCATAGGAACCTTTCAGAGGCAATTTAATCTTCTGAGCAGTGCACGTGCGCCGGCGCAGCGTCGAGAGTGGGGGTTCAGGCCCGCACATCGGTCATTTCTTTTGCCCTCCGGTTGTGAACTCTCTGGGTTAAAAAGGACTTGGCTTTGGTTGTTAGTGTCATTAATTTTTGAATATTTTTAATATTTTAAAATGGCTCATGAATGCTCACGGTTTAGGAGATAGATGTGTATGTAACACACAGGAGTGCTGGAATTGGTGGCATTCCAAATAAGTGTCACTGGAGACAATGCATCCGGTTTACATGTCAGGTGCAAAGTGCTCAGGCTTCCTCACACCCCAGGCTCGTTATTAGGCAAGCTCTATTCTCCCGTCCCCCTCGTGCAGAAAATAAAGTGTACGTTCTGAAGATTACAGTGTACAGGTCTTTTGTAGGAGAGTGGGAAACACATAGGAAGCACCTCTTCAGCGAGGACTGCCAGAACCTCGATTCTTCTCACCAGGGATTACTTACCCTACACAGTGCATTTAACAGCGCATAGTTCATCGTAGAGAGCCCCCGAGTATACTGTATTCCATTGATTTACAGTTACAAATCCTGGGCTCTCCAACAAGGGTCTCTCGCGATTGGCTGATCATCTGGGGTCCAAAAGGTGTCCTTCAGCCCCAAGTCCCCTCTTCCCTCTTGGCTGCAGCAGTCCCTCCGGCGCGCCCAGTGCAGAGGCGGGCAGTCACTTTAGTGATAAACAGGGAAAATGATAAAATTTCCCTAAGACTGAGGAGTTTGATGGTGCCAGGGTGGTTTTATTTTGCTTTTTGGGGGAGGGAAGCAGAAGATAGGGTCACAGAAATAGGGGTGGCAAGAAACTTTCCTTCTGTTTTCTTCCGAGTTCGTCATCTGTATTTTTATGGTGCAGCTCCTGGTAATCCGAGGCGCACTCATTAGGAACTCTCAGTGCAAGAGGAGGGGAAAGGAAAGCCGATTCCACGTTTCTCGTGGACTCAGCAGTGAGTGGCTTCCCACAGCGGCATCAGGTGCTTTGCGCCAGAATTTTCCCTGGCCTACTGCACTCCCACAACATGTGCAATAAAGTTCCTGTCTCCGTTTTACATCTTTGACATTGAGGCGGAAGATTTGGCCTGAATTTATGTAATTTAGTTGGGCACAGATATAACCCATGAATAGGCACATTCATCTCCTAATTAGAAAATCAAACGATAATACAGGACAGGCTGCAGGCACCGCATCCCTTCGGCCAACAAAAGCACGCTGTGTGTGTTGGACCTCGGCAGAGGAAGAGTCAGTTGAGTTGCTTCATGAAGTTAATGAAAAGTGTCCAACCATGGGTGAATGAAAGATGCGGACCGAGGGTGCTGGCAGTTACTTAGTGTGCTAAAACCTTTGCATTATGGGTAAAGATTTGGGGGAAATCTTTTACCATCTGTGGATGAATTCCCGGGCATATAAAATTCCGGATTGGACAGGCCTTTCCCCCCTGTTGTAGCGCCAGGTCCTTGGGCGGCGGGGGTGGGGTGGGGGAGTAAAGAGTAGCCAAAGAAATAATTAGTGAACGGCGGAGAGAGGTTTTCATATGTTCACACTTACATGTAGCTGCTTATTTGGGTATCTTTCTTATTCAGCACATTATGTTGAGGCTGTTAGTTTGGATGCTTTATATTTTTGCATCTGGCGTAGTGATATCGATGCTGTTAAATATGTGATTTGTCTGTCGCCTGCATTTTCAGACAAAGATCAAGAGGAACATAAACAAGCCCCAAATATACTTTATGTAGGTGTTTGGCAGTATGATTTTATATGGCTTGAAATTAGTGAATGGAAACTTTAAAAGAAATTGTTCATATTTTTGCAAGTTTGAAGTGTGCCGGGACTTTGTCAAATTCCCGTTAAAATAAATACGTCAATTTCATCTCCCTTCCGAATTCATTTATCTTGCTTTTTTAAAAGGTGTTTTCTACTTTACCTGATGTTTAAATTGGATTCGCTCCTTTATGCTGTTCTTTGCTATATCCCCCACGTTTTTCTTAAATGAATTACTAATGACAGAGCACTCCATCATTCCCTCTCTGCAGCCACTTTAAGGAAAGCATGGTGATCTAAACCTTTTAACCTATTAAAGATGATTTTTCCCAATTGAATCAGACCCACCACAGGTGTAATAACTAATCATTTAAACTACACCTGCTATTATGTATTTTTAAGCCATTATGCGTGTTGGATAGATGATAATTCATGTTTATTGCATTGTCCGATGGATCCGTTTTGCCTACACTAGGCTGATTAATGTATTTAAAGAAATAAGAGATGCAATTTTTAAAAAAAAATTGATGGAATGCGCCAAGCACTGCATTGAGTGCACCATTAAACCCATCAGAACTTTGCTCTCTGACCAGAAATGCATATACCAAGGACTATATTAAAAAAGCAAGGTGAAACCTGTGCGTTTTAGTGGTGGGATTCTGTTTTCTTTCTCTGTCATGGAAAATTTTGGAAGGATGAAGGAAAGGTCGATGCTTCTATGGGTAAATGAGAGGAGCCGTGCTGTTAATATCTGCTGCTTAAGGGCCGCTCATCCACATTCCCTCTGACACCTGGTGCACACATCGCCGCATGCAGGCACTGCCGCATGGTACTGGTGCTGTAATTGTCTTGTGTATGGAAGGTGCATTTTTTCTCCAGGTGAAGAGCAGTCATCCCCGAGCCATCTGAACCAGGCCGATGGCCACTGACCCCGTGAGGCCTGTGACTGTGTAGCTGTCCACTCCTTCCTGAACATGGGCCTCTCTTCCTCTTGTCTCTCTGCTTCCTCCTTCCCCACGTCCCCTTCCCACTTCACCTCTCCCCACTTCTTCTGCCTCCCCTTCTGGTCCAGCTCCTCTGCCTTCTCCACTTGTCCCGTGGCTGCCTTCTCCCCTGCCGCTCCCTCCTGCTCCCCAGTCCCTCTGTTTTCCTCTTCTTTCTCTCCCTTCTCCCATCGCTTCATTAAAATGCATCCGTTTTGTAGATGTGTGTCAGATTGTTCTTAAGTTTGGTGCAACCCGAGGAGATACAGTTGAGGGGCCGAGGGGGCGTGGGATGTGGAGTTCGGGGGTCTAGAATCTGGAGCATCGGTTTCTCTCTAGTCCAGAGCTGGTTGGTTACCACTGCCGCTCTTATGGGGGTTAAGAGGTTTGCAGTGCTGGATGGATTACAACCAGTCTCTAGGAACACGAGTGTGTCTTACCGCCACCAGGCCCGAATCTGAAGGTCTGGGACACCGGAATTCATGCTTCAGGGAGAATGTCTCAGGCTCGCCTCCAGCAGAGGGACCACGGGGGAAGGCACATAAGGGAGTTGCCCTGGCCTTTTGTCTTTTTTTTTTTTCCTCATTTATCCTCCTATCTTCTGCTACCAGGGAAGTCTGGCTGGACTCAGGATTAAATTCATATAAAATAGGAGAATATTTGTAAGTTGTATTCCATTGATAGTCACAGTTCTTTGTGCTTGAGTCTCTGGATAGCTGCTACCCTTAGTCTGAAGGATCTTAGAAAAGTTCCTTATATTTGGTCCCTTAGAAATATGTTCTTTCAACAGCTTAGGAATGAACTCCAGGGTCTGTTGACTTTACCTGTAACGCGAGACTGTATTATTCTTTTGGTCTTGATGAGATGAATAATGCCAGTCATTTAAAACGGCCCCTTTCCTGTCTGGGGCAGGTTGGCGTGTCCCACCCATTGCACCAGTGTGCGGGTCAGAGAGCACACAGGCGGCGTGCAAACACACACTGTGTGTGTGCTGAGTGATGCGAAGGTTAATACCTTCAGCAGTTTTCCTCCCACCCCCCTCCTTGGCTTATTTGTAGATACGAAGATTTCATTAAATAATATCATTACCAGAGGTAGGGGGATCGTCTGTCAGTCTGTCAGCTTTTAGCCGTGAAATCCCAAACTTTGTCCTTTGAAATCTCTTCAGGACTGAGCTCCGTTGCGTTAGAGGGCCCGGTGTGAATGGCTGGGTGCGTTGTCTCTTCTATAATCCTTCCCAGCCGGTCTGTGCTCAGCACTTTGCCAGGCTCTGTGGAGGCAGTGTGGTCTCTTCTCCTCAGGTGCTTGCAGTGTAGTTGGGGAGGCAGCCTGAACATTAGAAGACAGTATAATTATGTCTTCAATTATATGGTACACACTACGAGCATTAAAGAATTTAAGAGAATAGGGAGATCAGAGATGGCTTGCTTATTTAGGGAAGACTTTGAGGAGTTAGCACAGGTTATAAAAGGGCTGTGCTGGTGTGCGTGTGTTTGTACACGTGTGCGTGTGTGTGTGTGTATGCAGTGTTTAGACAGGTAGAGGCGGGAAAGGGAGGCCGTCTAGAACAAGGGCATAGCTTGAGCACAAGTATAGTGACGTGGATGAGCATTGCCAGGAGAGGGCTGGCTACCTGCCGAGAAGTGTGAAGATACAGCTTGAACAGGGAGAAAAGGAACAGATTGTTGCAGGTCTTAAAAGCTAGGCTGAGGAGGTTAGGTTTGATAGAATCAGATACAGGGAGCCAGTGGGACCTGACATAGTCTTTTATTTAGGTAGATTTTAAATGTGAGAAATAACTGGTTATATATTTGACCACAATGGTGTGCCTATTTCTCTGGACCTGGGATAAACTGGTAGGATTTTTCATCTTGAAATTCAGCCTATTGAAGTTTACTTTTCTTCTTTTATCTCCCTGACCAGATTGCCACAGCAATGAAGTTTCTGCAGAATTCCCGGGTCCGCCAGAGCCCACTTGCGACCAGGAGAGCATTCCTTAAGAAGAAAGGTACAGGTTTCCCAAGGCCATACAGTGTGGCCTGCAGAAAGGGACTGGGGACGGGGCAGATGAAAGCCACGTTGTTGCTGAAAGGACCTTCCGCAGTTGTCCCACTGGTGTGGGGGTGAGGGGAGCCCCCTCAGTGGGAATGCAGGCTTCTTTCCTTATAGTGGAGCAGAGAGATGATACTGTCTGGATAATCCAGCACCAGATGTGAGGCCAACAACTTAGTCCAGGACAGCCTGGCACAGGCAGCAAGAAGAGGCCCATTGGATGAGACTGTGGAGGACTTCTGCTTCTGGTCCGTTCTTCTGATAATATGACCCTGGCTACACAGTGACTGGCTTTAGGTTAGGAGGTCAGCTGCCTCAGTAAAGAATCAGGAAGAAAGAAATTGAAAGACTAGGGAAATGAGATGACTAAACAAGGTCAGGTTAAGGTCAAGCTTGGGGGTCAGTCTGATTTACGGATTGAAGTGGTAAATTACTGGTTTTATGGTATTTCTGTAAGCAGGGATTAAATGGATCTTGACAAATTCAATATCGTCCAAAGCAGAAAGAATCTCTTCTGGCTCTGTTGCAATTTAGGATATTTTTCTTGTTCTGTAAAATACAAAACAAACCCCAAAACAAACAAAAAAGGAATCTTGACTTTTCACTCTTTGAACGTCTAATTTTCTAGAAAGCTGGAAAGTTGTGTAGAGGCCCTTATATACCATGGTGGGGGGGGGGGTGAGTTTTCTTCCTCCTGTCTGCCGCTCCCACCCCCACCGCCCCTAAACAAAATTCCTTTTTCTTCAGGAGCTGGAATGTCAGCTTCAGAATTTGAGGTTGTGAGCTTTAAGTCATCTGTGGCTGGAAATAGAAGACGGAGTGGTTTGGTGGTGTTTCCTCCGTCTGCTCCCTGGCGTCCCACCACAGAGATGCTTGCAGGACCGTGTCCCAGGCCTGCACCCTTAGCACTGGGGCAGAATGAGCCTGAAGCTCTCCATTCGCAGGCATCTGTTCAGAGGCAGCCTCCGGGCTGGCCCCTGCGACGGAGTTGGTGAGGGGTGTTGTGCATTTGCTGGCAGCATCGTGCTCGCCCCCCATCCGTAGGTGGTTATTACAATTTGGAGTGCGTTGGCCGGCCTCTGCACTCCGCAACCATCATGCCATAAAAGAGTTTTTCCTTGAAATATGTGTACCTATGGGGAGTAATTAATCATAAAAGCTTGGGGATTTCAGCTCTCTCATCAAAGCATCGAAGCCGGGGAAAGCTGAGCCTAAAAGCTGTGCTGATTACCCGGAGTAACCTGAGACAAAATCTATGGTTGCCGAGAGATCCTCTGCCCCAGTATATTGTGCGGTATTATAACTGCCTGATCTTCTCTTCCACTGACAATGACCAGTTATTCCTCATTTTCTCTCAAACGCAGCTGGGTTAGAATTTCATTTGCAGAAGGTATTTAGAGCAATTTAGAGACAAATGTCTCTGGTGTTTGCTCGGCACTTCCCCACCGCAGGCTTTGCTGAGCAGTTTTAGTATCAGGAGCTCCATCTAATCTGTTTAATTTTAATAAATCCCTGACTGGGAGAGGGAGAGGAAAAAGAGAGAGAGAGAAACTCTGGACCAAATAATACTTCTTTTGAGTTAGTTGGCTAATAATTACTGTGGAGAGGAAACTGTTTTGTGCAATTATTATTTGTTGCTCCTTTAAAAATAACGCAAGACAAAACCAGTCGATTAGTTAATCCATCGAAGAGTGTTTGTCCTGCACACGCCCCGTTCTGGGCCCCAGGGACTCAGCAGAGAAGAGGGCAGACAGCATCCCTGCCCTCACCGGGCTGACATTCTAAGGGGGAAAGGCAGACAATTAACCAATGAGAAAATGAGATCCATTGTATGTCAAGTGACAAGTGCCACAGAGGAAAATAATGCTGGGTGCCCGGGGTTGAGGAGCCCCAGCGCTGGGGTGGGAACGGCTTGCACACCTAGACAGGGCGACTGGAGCACGCCTCTCTGAGAGGGAGATGAGTATTTGTCGGTGTGGAGTGGGCACAGTTCCTCCTTGACCCCTAATGTGGATGAGAGTTTTTAGAATTTCAGGCAGCGGGAACCCGGAGAGGCCTCCTACCCTTCTTCCTCTAAAGAGAGCCACAGGAGTCTCCGCTGAGCCTCAGTCCAGAATCACTGGCCATAATCACCCATCTCCATTATCCTGTAAAATGCTGCTTCAGTCAGTAATTATCTGTTTCTGAGTTGAGTCCCAATAGGGTAAGTTCTGGCAGGACCTTTTCTGGGCAGAGGATTCCATGGTTTGATTGGCACCTGGGGAAGAAGAGCCCCGTCGTGGATTTACACTTCACTTTTTAAATTTCCAGCTTTTCCTTGGGTCAGGTGTACATGGTCCGCGGAACTTGGCACCGGCTCCAGTGGGGTGAGGGAGGAGGGGATTTTGCGAAGGAGCCAGTCTCCCCTGTCCCTAACTGTACTTGGGAAGGAAAGAGAGTTGGTGGACTGGTCTGTGCGGGCGGGGAGGGTGTCCTGAGGGGAGGGACCAAGGTTCTGGCATCCTCCCCATGCCTCCTCGCAGGACTCATCGCAGGGGTGGGTTTGGAGCGCTGGCTTTGGGCGAGCTTGCAGCTACTGTAGTCTTGGCTTTTCCTAGCAAATGTCACTTCAGGGAATTGCAATGGAGCACTGTCTTGAATTATAATCTTGACTTTCTTTTTTTTTAATAAACATCTCTTTCCTGAAAAGGCAAATCCAATTTTGTTTTTTTCTTTTAATATTATTTAATATTTAATATAGAAATTGAGGTCCCTGTAGTGCATGTCAGTTCAGTGGAAAATGAGGGTTACTTTAGGCACATCAGCTGAGTTTGTTTTAATGTGAAACCACAGCCCAGAGCAGGGCTACAGCCTGCCTCCGTTACTGACACGTTAAATGTTTTGCTCTCTGATTCGGGGTGCCGAGGGGACCGGAGGCAGGCTAGTGGGGAGTGGATGGGATGCACACGCAAGAGCTTTGGTTTGCAAAGGTCCTCTGTGTTTGTGGTTTTCTTGTTTTTGTTTTTTGTGTTTTGAGTTCTCTTTTGGATGCTTTAAAGTCTGAATATGGAGTCATTAATGAGAAATATGAAGTTATTGGAATCATTTATCATTTTCCTTGAAGTTTGTACTGCCATTTTATGTAATTTACGACATTTCTTTCTTTTATTGGGAATTTTTTGGATGGAAGAGAAAAGCAGCTGTTCACCTTTGGAGTATTAGAATAAACGTTTTTGTTTTCCTTCCAACTGCTTGATTCTGCAGATGGCACGTCAGCCGCGTAGTCAGCCGCACATGAACATCACTGGACTATGTGTGGGGTTTAAGCCCTCCTGGAACTGGACTGCATAGGGAGGCAGTTCTCACCAGGGAGGCATCATGTCTGGACTTTAAGTGGGCTGCAGTCCAGGAGGTTAGAGTAGCTTAAAAACAGCAATAGAATCGGTCCAAAAAGTTAGAGGCTTGGACAGCGTTGTCAATAGGCTTATGTTTATTTGACACCTTATCCAACCACAAAGTGTAGGAGGCAGGCTGCTTCCAAACATGTTGGCAGGCTGAGTGTAAGGTGGGTAAAAGTGATGCTTCTTCGCTGGGGGGGGGGGTAGGTGAGGTGGGGGGAAGATAGCGTTGTCTGTTAGCTTACTCCTAATCTATCTGTTGCAAAGCAGGCTTCTAGAAAAACGATGAGCATCACACACTTCTCTGTATAATCCTGCATAATGGGGCCTGGGTGGTGTTGGCTGAGACTTTTGCTTATTGTGCCTTTCTCAAGTGTGTAAGTAAAGGGCTGTGTTCTCGCTCATCTAATAAATAGTCCAGGGGAAAAGGAAAACTAAACAAATGAGACATACCACCATCCTTTCTCATTCTAAAAGGTGAAACAAGATCTTATCTTTCTTCTGTTCCTGGAAGCGGAACCCCCGGTAGCAAAGCCGCCTCCTTGCTGGAAATGAACTTGAGGAAGAAACCTGATGGTCTCAACCTTGGTAGTGGGGTAGAGGTGAAGGGCTGCTCTCGCTGGAGTATTTCAAGGGGGAGTAAATTCTTAACACAGATTTCAATTTAACTCTCTTTTATTACTTTTCTTTTTTATCATTTACGTCCATTTCATGAGGTAGTTTGCATGTCCTTGAATGGAATCTCGTTACCATGAAAGCTTTTTTAGCATTGATTTCATAACAGTCTTAATTTAATAGCTCCGTCATTACTGAGAAGCTCTGGGAGTGGGGCCCTGGCTTTCCAGGTCACTGACCTTTTAATTACAAACCTTGTTCTGATGGCCAGGTTATCGACTGGACAGCTCCCAGCTTGTGCCCCCAGGATGAGAACGAAAATAACTGTGTTTCCTCCCCCATCTCCAGGAAAAAAAAATTGTAACCTCATATGTTTCTAAAATTAATTTTCTCCTTCAGCTTTACTTTATAATTAATTCTTTAATGTGTCTTAGTGAAGCCAGAAGTATTTTTATAACACTATTTTTTCTAGAGCTTGGGTCCAGCAGAGAGCTTGGAGGGGGCAGGGAATGGAGACCCCATGCTTGGCTGTGGCCCATTTTCTCGCCCTCAGAAACTCCTGTGGCTGAGCTGGAAGGAAGGGTATTGGCTCTGGAGGGGCTGTCTGGCCCTTCTGATTTCTTTGTTAATGAGACGTGGATTGTGGCATCGAGATTTAGATTCATTCCTGCATTTGCTGGAGTAATTATGCCTTCTCTGTCATGGATGTTTTATTTTATTTCTTTATTTTTTTAAAGTAATCTCTACCTCCAGTGTGGGGCTTGAACCCACAACCCCGAGATCAAGGGTCACACGCTCCACCGACTGAGCCCGCTGGGTCCCCCCTAACATGGATGCTTTAAAAAGATGCTCCCCTTCTGGGCAAAGATGAGGGGTGGGTGATTTTTCTTACTGTCTTACCTCTCTGTTAGTCTTAGATGACTGGAAGAAACAAAATACCTGACCTGAGGAGTTCTGCTCAGTC